TTTCATCAGTGTTTTGTAGTTCTTCTTGTAGAGATGTTTTACTTGCTTGGTTAGCTATATTCCTAGGTAACTTATTTTATGTTATTTTTGTCACCATTGTAAATGAGATTCTATTTTTGATTTGGCTCTCAGCATGAAGATTACTGGTGTACAGAAATGCTACTGGTTTTTGTACTTTAATTTTGTTTTTTGAAATTTAACTAAAGTCATTTATTGGTTCCAGGAGCCTTCTGGCAGAATCCTTCGGGTTTTTTACATATAGAAGCACATCATATGTTGAGAAATAATTTGACATCTTCTTTTCCTATTCAGATGACTTTTGTTTCTTTCTCTTTCCAGATTGCTCTAAGACCTCCAGTATTATGTTGAAGCAGTGGTGAGATTAGGCATCCTTGTCTTTTTCCAGTTGTCAATGGTAATGCTTCCAGCTTTTGCACATACAGTTTGCTGTTGCTTGTGTATCTGCCATAGATGGCTTTCACTATTTTGGAGTATGTTCCATGGATGCCCAGTTTCATGAGGGGTTTTTTTTTGTGTGAAGGAATGCTGGATTTTATTGAAGACTTTTCCTGTGTCTACTGAGATAGTGATTCAATTTTTGTTTTTAAGTCTGTTCTGTGGTAGTCCCATTTATTAACTTTTGTATGTTGAACCAACCCTGCATCACAGAAATAAAGCCAACTTAATTGTGGTGAATTACCTTTTTGACTTGCTGCTGGATTCAGTTTGTTAGTATTTTGTTGAGAATTTTGCATGTATATTCATTAGGGATATTGACCTTCAATTTTCTTTTTTATTGTGTGTTGGCCAGATTTTGGTATCAGGGCCTCATAGAATTAGTTAAGGAGGAGACCCTCTTGCTCAGTTTTTTGAAATAGTTTCAATATAGTTGGTACCAGCTCTTCTTTGCCCATTTGGTAGAATTTGGCTGTAAATCCATCTGGTCCAGTGCTTTACATGGTATGGTTGGTAGTTTGTTTTTGTTTTTTTGTTTTCTGTTTTTTAACTTATTTCATTTTAGAACATGATATTGATCTGTTCGGGGTTTCAATTTTTCCTGATTCAATCTTGGGAGACTGCATTTCCAGGAATCTATTCATATTTTCTTGATTTTTAGTTTATGTGCATAGTGGTATTCATAATAGTCTCTGAGGATATTTTGTATTTCTGCATTATCAGTCATAATTTCACTTTTGTCGTTTCTGAATGTCCATATTTTGATCCTCTCTCTTGTTTTCTTTGATAATCTAGCTCAGAGGTCCCCAACCAGTTAAGAATCAGGCTGCACAGCTGGGGATGAGTGTGGGGGCAAGTGAACATCACCTCCTGAGCTCTGCCTCCTGTCAGATCAGCAGCAACATTAGATTCTCATAGGATTGTGAACCCTGCTGTGAACTGCGCACATGAGGGATCTAGGTTGTGCACTCCTTATGAGAATCTAACTAATGCCTGATGATCTGATGTGGAACAGTTTCATCACAAACCCCATTCACTTTCTCTCCAATCCTTGGAAAAATTGTCTTTCACAAAACCGATCTTTTGTGCCAAAAAGGTAGGGGACTACTGATCTAGCTAGTACTCTATCAATCTTGTTTATCCTTTTAATTAACAAACTTGTGGTTTCATTTCTTAGTGGCTTTTGTCATTTCTTAGTCTTTTTTTTTTTTTTTTTGCAGTTTTGCTATTAATATCTTAGTTTATAAAGTAAGTTGAAAGGAATTTGCTCTTATTTTCCCCAAAATTTATGTAAGATTGTTATTATATCTTTATTACATGTTAAATAGGATTCATCAATAAAACCATCTGGTGCTGAAAGTTTTATTGGGAAAGGAAAAGGAAGGTTTTATTTATGAATGTAATTACTCTAATAAAAGAAAGCTGTTTATATTTGCAATATGTTCTTGAGTCTAATTTGTTAAGTTATATCTTTCAAGGAATTAGTTTACCTCACTAAAATTGAGAAATTCAACGATACGAAGTTAGTCATATTTTGCCATCGTTTTATGAGTGCTTACAAAACAATATTAAAAAGTTATTTCATTACTGTTGATGGTATTTTTTTCTTTTTCCATTCATCATTTTACATATATCTTTTTCAGTTTTAATATTCTCAAAAACCATTGTTGGGTATTATTAATTTCTGTAATTTTTTCAACTTTTATTTTAGATTCTGGGGGTACAATTGCAGGTTTGTTACAAAGGTATAGGGCATGACGCTGAGGTTTGGAGTATGTTAAACCCATCACCCATGAAGTGGTGTATTCTTCTGTTTAATACTTTTTGTTATCTTTATTATTTCTTGGCTTCATCTAACTAGATTCAGTTGGTTGTTCTCTACAATCCTATGACGAAATATCAGATAATCGATTTTAAGGACCTCTTTCATCTGAAGATAAATTTCTTAAATTTCTCTAAGAGTACTGCATTACCTTCATTCTGTGAATTCTGATAGACAGAATTTAAAAAATCATTCAATGAAAATATTTTCTAAAATTTTTTGGTTATTTGGACACATGTGTTATTTAAAATTGGATCGTCTCATTTCCATATACATTCTATATGTACTTTGGACATTTGTTTTTTTCTCTGGACAGCTCCCCTCTAGTATTGGTGGTGTCTATATGTTTTCTGTCTGCTTACATAATCAGTTGAAACTAGCTCTTCTTCCTTGTCAGAATACTGAACTATATTATCTTACTCACGTGGCAACATGAATTACATTAGAAAGGAGAAACACTTTCCTCAAATGTCTTTGGTTTTAGTCCATTTAAAGCTGTTTTGACTAGAATGCATTTCAGTATCTCGAAGAAATATAAAAAATTAGAAACACCAACTAACAAAGCCACAACTGACCTGCAAACGAAAATTATAGTCTGAAGTCTATAAGTGTATGTAATCCTATAAATAAGTCCTAGTAATACCAATTCCATACATTTGTAGTCACTAAAACAGACTGAAGGTATTGGTAAGGCTTATGTTGAGCTTTACTGATGAAAGTTTTTGTGCTTGTGTTACCTTGTTTGATTTTCACAATAATATTGCGAAGTCTTTATTAATATTATGCTCATATTGCATATTTTTATTTCTGAGTCACAGAAACAAAAAAGTCTTTAGTTCTCAGACAAGTTTAGAAATAAATTTTGAATTCAATTTTGTATCCTATATTTTTTACTTCAATTTGTAAGCATTCAGTTCAGAGTTTTTCTCCTAAAATATATTGCCCATTTTACATGACAGACTCGGAATGAAAGTAAGCTTTTCTACACTAAATTTGGTAAAAAAAAAAAAAAAAATTCGCAGATTTATCTGTAAGTTTATAAAATTTGTACCTTTTCAGAATTACTGTTGCTGACTTACCATTGGAGAGGTTAAATAATGAATAGCAAATTATTTTCCCTAACTCTAAATATAATCTCAGCATAATGAAAAATTCAATTTGCTATTCATCAACAACCTGATATGATATAACACTTCTTCCAAAGAGCCCTGTTAACTGAGTTTTGCAATAAATGTGATATTAATCACAGGTTTCAAACATGTCATGCTTTTAATTTCCCAATAATCTTCAACATGCTTGTACTCCATTTAATGTTTCAAAGGGAGAATTTAATGACAATTAGTTTTCAGTGACAGCCGGTAACTCTGCATGAAGGCATGAAGGTGAGTACTGCCTCTCTTTTTTTAAAGAAAGCATCCATTGATCTCATACGTTTTGATTCTGCCAGGAACATTTCCCTTATGGCTGTCCTAAAAATAGAGAAAACCTGACCCAACACTAATGTCCCATTCTATTTTCAATGAGTGACTTTGTTTTGTTTTCTTGATTGATTTGACTGGGGCATGAAATGTAAGCCTATTTACACTTGTTACGAAGAGAGAGATGAAGGGTATCACAAACCCACAAGGGGACAGCACTGGCTTTCCTCTTTCCATCTGTGTATCAGTGTAGAGAGGCACGCTCTTAAATGGCTGCTGCTGCTCAAATGGAAATGGAGTGCTGTGGAGTAGCACTCCTTGGTCATTATGAGACCACAGTTCTGAAAGAGTAAAAGAGTTTTGGGTTGTGGGAATTGTTGTTTGTTTTTTGTTTTGTTGTTTCTTGACTATGAAATTTTTTCCAATATGATAAAGAGAAAATACAATAAGAATGTTTTTTTTCTCTTACTTTTATTTGGGAGTCATAGGTTACTTATTCCTCAATCTGGCAAAAATCATGTAAGAGCTATTTGTTTGTTATTAGGTGTTCATATCATCAAATCCATTTTACAGTAATTTATCATTAGAACATGTAAACTATAAAACAGACGTGATGCCATTAACATCTAATAATAACATATTTTTGGTTAGCTTCTTTTATCCCCAACACAGTCCACTCAGGAAGCAGATATAAGCAATCGTAATTATCACCCCAACTCCAAGATGCTTAGGAAAGCCTTCCTCCTAAACACATTATTCTATGTAAGACAAAGTCCATGAATAAAGTTCTCTATAACTTGTACACTATATGGAAATCTCTGGAAAAATGATCTTAAAAATATGTTTACGTCAATAAAGTTTTATAGTGTGTGATTTAGTGAAAACTTTTCAATACATTACAAATAAAATATCGTATTTTAGTAACAATTTTTCTACTTGAATGAAAATAACAAGAAGTTACCTTGAATTTCTGTAAATGATCTAAAATTAAAATCAATGTGTAGCAAACACATGTATACTCTTTAATTAATCAGATTATGTAGTCGAAATGATGAACAATTGTTCTAGGGCCTTTTAAGATAAATAACCCTATAAACTCTTCAAAAAAAGTTTTATTACTTTTTGTAAATTAAATATAGGGTTGAAAGAGATGATGTAAGACCATGTAAAAGTAAATTCCCAATGCATGATTTTTGAAAATGATAAGTAAAATATAGTTTAATTTCTGGTTAAAAATTAATTTTTAAGGGCATAGGCATAGCTCACTCATGTAAGAAGTGCCATGTATGTAATTTATTCCCCAGAAATGAAAATGTAAGAAATGAAGAAGGGAAGGAGAGAAAGTGGGAAGAAGGAGGGATGCAGGAAAGAAGGGAAGATGAAAAGAAGAAAAATACCTTCTCACTCCCTCTTCTGCAAAATCCACTCCAAGCAATGGTAGTAAAAACTCAGCTGAAAAGTAGTAGAAAGCAAGACTAAAATTGTAACATATACAACAATAACACTGACATCTGGCTGTCTTAGCCCAAGTATGAAATTATAGAACTTAGCAGACATGTTTAAATCTTACATTCTTACATGCTTCTTCCAGACATTAAAAGGATAATATTGTTTGTGTTAGCTTACATGGGATACACATAAAATTAGATATTAGGTTTGTTAGGGACAATTAATTGAATTGATTAAAATAAAGAAGCTTCTGATCCATAAATATTCCTATCAGATTGCTGAATTTTGATGTCTACCTTTTATGAAGTAAATGTATATATTACCCACTTCCTGCAGGTGCTCTATCATAATTACTTGTAAAATCAGTTTCTATTCATTGAATTTTTAATTTCAAGTCTTCAAAAATGTCGCAAAGATAACTGAATTATTGGGACATTTGTTCCATGGAATCAAACAACTCAGAACCTACATTTTAAGCGCTTAAAATCTGAATGGATACAGACAACTGTACATATAAATTGATATCTAGTAGAGCGTGTTAGAAAGAGTAAATAAGAAATATATCTAACTAGAAGTAGTTGTTATATAAGAGGATACTGTTCAAATTCATAGAGCTTGGGTGAAAAGTAGACAGACATTACTGATTGAATAGTTTGAGCTAAGTCACAGGGACTGTAAAACATAAGGCACATTTTAAGAAATGCAAACAGTTAATTTGCATTTATATATATGATATGGAAAGAATGATATAAAATATATGAATAAAGACAAAGAATGGAGCCAAATAAGAAAGTCATGGAGGTTTAAATAGCAGACTTTTGACTGGACATGGTGGTTCACGCCTGTAACCCCCGTACTTTTGGAGGTCGAGGCTGGTGTATCACCAGAGGTCAAGAGTTCGAGATCAGCTTGGCTAGTACAGTGAAACCCTGTCTCTACTAAAAATACAAAAATCAACCGGGTGTGGTGACACGAGTCTGTAATCTTAGCTACTCTGCAGTCTGTGTGGCAGGAGAATCGCTTGAACCCCAGCAGTAGAGGTTGCAGTGAGTCGAGGTCACGCCACTGCACTCCAGCCTGCGTGACAGAGCAAAACTCTGTCTCAAAATAAATATATAAATAAAATTAAAAAATAAAATAGCTAGCATGCTTTAAAATCAGGGCATTTTTCTACCCCGAATCAGACTACAGATATGAGAGCAGACCAGGGTTGTTTGTAAGACTTTTCAGAAGTACAAATAAAAACTTAGAATAATTTTCAAGCTTAGAGGGAAACTTTTATAAACATAAATGTGCATACACACATATATTTTAAAAATTTGCACACAGTAGGTAAGTAAATACAAATAAACATGTAGAATCCAATATCAAGATACCTTCCACTGGAAATGGGTTGAACTATGTCTTTTCTTGTGCCATTTTTTTTCTTTCTCTTCATTTTGTCCAGCCAGTCCTGACCTTGAATCTCATCCAGTCTTTTGGACTGATCATTACATACCCTGGCTTCTGCTTTCTTTCTTACTGATGAGCAAAATGACTGTATTTTCCACCTTTAGCTTTGAAGACTGACTCTTTTTCTTAAGTATTGGCTCTTGACCAACTCCTGGTTTTATTTTGGTATTTTTAAAATAATTACTGTATGATGTCTGAGCTATTAATAAAGAAATGTTCCCTGCAGTTTTATGATACAGTTGCAAGACCATGAGCTACAAAATTTCTAAGTACTAGTTCTAAATTATAGTTCTGCCATTAACTAGCAAGCAACTTTATTTACAAAATGATTGCAATAAGGCAACCTATTAGGGTTCTATGGTAATTATGTAATATATTGTACAATTTTCTCAACAGTTTTCACCATTTAAAAAGCACACACAGATTATACAAATACAACCTAGTTGTTTAAGTGAATAGTCCACATGCTTTACTCCAACTATAACAACTTTTCCTCCTTTTACTGGCCTCATGGTCTTTCTTTTCCCATGTTGAAACATGCTTTTATCTATCGATCTGAAATTAACACCAATTTCATTAATTAAAACATGGCATTTCCTTATTTACATGTTTTTTTAACAATTTAAATTAACAACTTTTAGATATAAATAAAAATATGAGAGATACATAAACCTAATACTTTTTCCCTGATACTACAGTAACAAGTATTTCTCTTCCATATATTGATAGAAAGCATTAAATGTATCAATACTTTATCTGGAGAAGGTTCATCCTACATTTAAAATACATTTCATTTTGAAACAATTCCCTATTACACATTCTTAATAAAAACTGTCCATGTTTGCTTGGTTTATAACTGTGTGTTCCATCTCTCATACAACTTTTGGAAGCACTGTTACAACCAATATTCAATATCTCTCACGGTTGTTGCCATACCTCCAACATACAGCCATTTCTCCTTTGTTTTTTTTTTTTTTTTTTTTTTTTTTGGTGGGTTTTTTTGGTCTGTTTTTTTTGCTTAGTCTTAGCAGCAGAATTTTACCCTTTCTCTCACCCTCACGGCCTCACAGTTTCTGGAAGCACTTATGTGAATACTTTGGCAAAATTGTGCTCACAGCACCAATTTCTGTTCCACCTAGTATGGTCATGTAAGTCATCACTGAACGACAACCATAGGAATACATCTTTTCCAAGGAAAGATTTTCTCAGTTCCACTTGAGCCTTTTTTTCTGTCAACTCCATCAATCAGCGGAGAGAGACTAGTCTCCTAGTCACAACAGCATAGCCAGTTAATAATAAGCCTGTTAATGACTCGAGACAAATACAGCTCCACCCTTTGCAGTTGAGCATGTTATTTACTCAAATCAAGCATTTTCTCATAAATAAAATAATGCCAGTACAACTGGGCATCATGAGGGAAAAAAGTGTGGGAAGTATTCTAGTATCTGAAAATAGATTGTAGATATTTAATCTTGTTATCATTATCAGAGTCACAATAGGTAGAAGGGCAATTGCAGATGCAGTTTTGCATAGAAAGTGTTTTTCCTTCCCTCCTTCCCTCCCTCCCTTCCTTCCTTCTTTCCTTCCTTCCTTCCTTCCTTCCTTCCTTTCTTCCTTCCTCCCTCCCTCTCTCCCTTCTTCCCTCCTTTCCTCCCTCCTCCCTCCTTTCCTTCCTTCCTTTCTTCCTCTTTCCTTTTTTTTTTTTTCTTTTGCTAAGCATTTTTCTTCAGTAAACCCTGATTAAAACATAGGGTAGGGTAATTTGTATTATGCTTTCACTTGATCAGGAATACATTGTCTGTCTTTGGAGATTCTGTTCATAAACCAGTACTTCTAACCCGTAAGTGAAAGTGCAATCAAAGGTCTATAGATTTCCTTACATACCAATTTTGAGCCTAAGCAAGTCATAAATTGGAACTGTCTATATCCCTGTGAGAAAAACAGGTACTACAGTTACTTTCTTCATTTATTGAGGAAGTGATTGTCATAAACAGGGTCTTCACTTTTTTTATTCACATACTTTATGCATTATTTTGATGTAAGCATTTGAATTTCCTGCCCTGGAGAAAATATTTTAGTGCTTTATATCAATATATGGAAGGGAAATATTTACTCTGCGATGCATTTTTGTTTTATGTATCCCTCAGCACACAAAAAATACTTTTTATGATGTTTTTCCATTAATGTGTTTGTTTTAGGAAAGATGAAGTTCAGCAACCATTTTTCTTTCTGCTTTGATTCATACATTCTCTAAGGCTCTTGCTTCTTAATGTAAGGTGTATTGATATACTGATTTAATATAGCAACAGCCTTTATTGAGATATATCTCTGTAATGCCATTGGGAGCAATGAACCAGTTAAGACACTTGCAATATTAAAATCAATTAAAATTTTAAAAATGTTAAATTGCATGGTTATGATGGAATCAATTTGAAAAAAATGGCTATTGAGCAATTAAGGAAGAAAAAATACACGGGGATTTCATGTTTTTCTTGCCTTTTTAGCCCAGAATATGGTTTTCGTGTAAGTACTACCAATGTCTTCTATTAAAGGCTGAAGTAAATTTTTCTCCAAAAGTGATGGCTTAACCTTCCACACCTATGTTTAATTATACTTTTTAAGACTTTCAAATTTTAAATTGTCTAAGCCCCTGTTGCTAATTTTATATCTTAGAGAGGCACATTGACATTTGAGGGCACTAGGCTACAATGTAATGCATTAGTACAAGAGGAAAGGACAAATGCTATGCTCTAAATTATTGATAAAGATTTTAAAGGTGAAAGAGATGTGGCATAATGGGAAGAACTCCTATTTCCTTCTCTTTTCCTTCAGAAACTTCAAATATTTTAAAATGTTAACATTTCTCCATAATAACTCCAAGTAATTATTAGTGTGAGTAGTAGATACGTACTAATTATATAATGGAATTTAAATAAATTATTTATGAGTGACTAATATTACACTGAAGGTGAAGGTGGGTGAATTTTTTTTAATGCTACTTAAAAACAGAGTACTTAAAAACACATGGAAAAGCAAGAGTACCTGAGAATATTTACAGTTATAAAAGTGTGTGGAGTGAAAGCCTACACAAACTGTAAAAGGGTAATTGAGTGTCTGTGTGTTGGGGCTGTTAGCAAAGTCATTGAAAGGAGTTTAGACCTCACCTAGAATTTCAGTCTTGTGTATGATTTAAATAATGAGAGGACAACATAGATGTAGATGTAGAATGGTCCTCAATGCTCTGCCATTATTAAAACATAGAATATGGTTTGCCTGTAAATTCTTCAAATTACATGGAGGATGCACTATTTATGGGAAGAGTTCCTAGTCAGTAAATTCCAGGCACAGTCATAAGAATCCCCTACATGCTCATTATGGTCGATTTTTTTTTTCTTCTCATTGTTGCAACTATAATCTGAAGATTGGTCCCTTCTCTTGAGGTTTTAGTTAAGCATCTAGATGGCTTTGGACTTTAAAATCTTCAGTCTACTGTTATAATAACACATATGAAGGACATAGAGTGCTACTTATGCTATGTTTACTGCAACTAAATTGGGAACGATAATTTGAAACAGTGCATGATCTGCCGATAGGAATCTGCTGTGTAGTGATTTCACCAGCAGTTAACAAACTTTTTGCTAGGACAACAGAAGTGTGGGGAAAAAAAATGGAAAATAGGGATCTATTAGAAAAAATTGGTTCTAGGTAATTATTGATAGATCCATGGAGGGGACAGGAAAAAGTATGTGATGAAGGACATAGGAATTTGAGATATGTAAAGGATAAAGGACAATGTCAATGATGGT